CGGTTCGCAGCCCGATTCGTAACCACTACGCTACCAGAGCTCCAGAAAATGAACCCCTCAGGTTGGAAGGCACTCAAAATGCAACTGGGGAAGAGCTGCCTCCTCAAAGTAGAGTTGACCGTGATGACGTGAATGGAGTAAAGCCCGTCGGAGAACTTGGGACCTTCATTTGCTGATACGGCACAACTCAATATGAAGAGAAACAGCTGTAAACATCCGTTAATAATCGGAACATGGATTGTACGAAGTATGGTTTTAGGAAAGGTCCTTGGAGGCCAGGATGGCCTAACTTCGTCTCTCAAACTTCGAACATATTGTCAGGAGAGACCAGTCTCTGGAGAAGGATATCATGTTTGGTAGGGTTGGAGGGTCAGAGAAAAAGAGGAAGACCCCCAGCGAGATAGATTGGCAAAGGGGCAGCGTTAATGGGATCAAGTGTGGCAACAATAGTATGGTTGGCCCAGGACGGGGCAGTGTTTTGTTTTGCTGTGCATAAGGTCGCTAATAGTCAGTACTGACTCATTGGCACCTAACAGCAACAACAACGTCTTTAAGTCCTGGTGTGGCCCTGTGGGCTAATGCATTGGACTGCAAAGTCAGTTTGAACTGCAAGGTCAGCAGTTCAGGCTCATCAGTTGCTCCTTGGAAACCCTTTACAGGATAGCTATGGATCGGAACCGACTCGACATCACTTAATAACAGTGTCTTTGGTTTTGTTGGAAAATAATGCAGGACCATTGATTTTTAGCTCCAGTTTAGAAGAGGAACCTACCGACTTGATGGCATCTAACCACAACAACAATATTGCATATTTAAAAACTAGTTGTTTGTCGAATTGAAAAACTCACGGAGACCCATGTGTTTACAGAGTCGAACGGTTCTCCCTGGTGGTTTCTTAGCTATAATCTTAATGTAAGCTCATCACAGACCTCTCTTCAGTAACTGGATGGCTTCAGACTGCCTTACTAGTGGGCCTTTATAAGAAAGTGGTAGAGGAAGTTTGAGGGCATGAAAAGGAAGAAGATAGATCCTCACTTTTTATTTTTTGTTGTTTTTGTGACTATCCAAGTGTATTTACTGTAAAAGACTAAAACACGTCGGTTAAAAAGAAAAATGCTTTCAGTGTAGATCAGTACGTTGCGGGTTAATGTGCTGGATTGCAAAGTCAGTTTGAACCACAAGGTTGGTGGTTCAAGCTCACCAGCTGCTCCTAGGAAACCCTATCTATATAGGGTCACTAGGGGTTGGAACTGACTTGACGGCACTTAATAACAACAGTACGTATGATATTAGATGCCCATTACTTTCTGGGTTTGAGATATTCTTTAAATGTCTTGTATACATAGGAGTTTTTATCATAGATCCAGACTACATTAACATTTTTTTCTTTTCATTTTCTTTCTTTATTTAAATGGAAAAGCTGTATTAATTTAAAAAACCATAGAGTCATAATGCGGCATACCATCTTTTTTGAGAGGTGAACATCACTGAATAAAAATGGCTGACAGAAGTGGGAAGATTGTTCCAGGACAAGTGTATATTGAAGTGGAATATGATTATGAATATGAAGCAAAGGACAGAAAGATTGTGATAAAACAAGGGGAACGGTACATCTTGGTAAAAAAGACAAATGATGACTGGTGGCAAGTCAAACCAGATGAGAATTCCAAAACATTTTACGTGCCAGCCCAGTATGTTAAGGAGGTCACTCGCAAAGCTCTAATGCCTCCTGTTAAACAGACGGTGGGACTGCCAAACAATTCTATGAAAATGATGCAGAATCTGCATCTTCAGAGATCGACAGAAAACGTGAACAAATTGCCTGAACTTTCAAGTTTTGGAAAATCATCTTCTGTTCAGGGAACAGGTCTTATTCGTGATGCCAATCAGAACTTTGGACCTAACTGTAGCCCAGGTCAGACTCTCAGCCTAAGCCTGGACCTGACCCAGAATAATGGAAAACTTAACAGTGACTTACATTCTCCTAAGGTTCCCAGCCAGAATAGGACGCGCTTATTTGGTCACTTTCCATGTCCGGAGTTCTTGGACACAGAAAAAACCAGCTTCTCCCAGGATCAGTCTTGTGATTCAGCAGGAGAAGGCTCAGAAAGAATACATCAGGATTCTGAATCTGGTGATGAACTCAGCAGCAGCTCCACTGAACAGATAAGGGTAAGAGAAATATAGAATGATTATGCACTTAAGACACTTCCATAGAAATTTTAATTTTAAACTTTACTTTTCCCTAAAAGCTTTGTAAGAGCTAAAAATTATTTATTTTGCTTTAAGGATTTCAGAACACATGAGTTTTATCTTAATTTAAAAAGCTAGAGATAACTTGTGAAGTTCATTAAGGGTACTTGAGGTTTAATTTTTCTTGTACCATTATAAGACTAACAACTTGTAGTAGCTATGTGTAAGGTATAGAGAATTTGCATACGTTATCTAGTGATATTTCTTTTGCTACAAAACATCAACTGACTTTCTAGATGGGTTCATTTTGACTTGTTTTCTTAAGTCTTCAGGTAAGAATGGTAAGGTTTGCTTGAGATGGAGCAGACTCAATGGCAGCTTAACATCAGAAATGGATTTATGAAGGAAGATGTCACTGCTACCTTTTGTTCATTGAAATTGTTGTTTACCTGAGTATTAAAAAAAAAAAATATATACACACACACACACACACACACACACACAATTTACAGATATTTACCTCCATTCGTAAACTTTTGTGTCCTAAATCAGTATTGCCGCTTGATTGTCTTTTTCATTACTCTAGGCTTATATTATAATTTGAAATCAGAAAGTGGGATGTCCTACTTTGTTCTTCCTTTTCAAGATTGCTTTGACTATATGGGGCCTCTTAAAATCCCATATGAATTTGAGGATTGATTTTTTTTTTTTTCCATTTCTGCAAAGAAGGCTTTGGGATTTTGATAGTAATAACATTTGTACATTGCTATGGGTAGTAGTAGTGGAGTCCTGGTGTGGCGCTGTGGGTTAATGTGTTAGACTGCAAAGCCGTTTGAACTGCAAGGTTGGTGGTTCAAGCTCACCAACTGCTCCTTGGAAAACCCAATCCAGGGTCGCTCTGGGTTGGAACTAACTCAATGGCACTTCACAACATAATAATAATGATAAGGAGCTCTGGTAGCGTAGTGGTTATGAATCGGGCTGCTAACCTCAAGGTTGGCAGTTTTTAACTACCAGCTGTTCCGTAGGGGAAATAAGAGGCTTTCTGCTCCCGTAAAGATTTGTAGCCTCGGACTCTCTGTGTAGGTTCACTATGAGTCGGAAGCGACTCCACAGTACTTAACAACAACAGTAATAATGATAAATTTTCCAATTCATGAACACAGATCATCTTCTCATTTATTTAGGCCGTTCATATCTTTCAGTAGTATTTTGTAATTTTCAGTGTGCAGGTCTTTCATTTTCCTGGTTAAATTTAGTATTAAGTATTTTATTTTTTTAGATGCTATTATAGATAGAATTATAAATTTCCTTTTCCAATTACTCGTGTCTGGTTTATAGAAACCCAGCTGATTTTTGTGTGTTGACATGATACCCTGACATTTTGCTGAATTCATTTATTCATCAGTAGTTCTCTTGAGGATTCTTTGGGATTTTCTGTATATAGGATTGTGTCATCTGCAAAGATAAATTGATCTTTTCAAAGAACCAGCTTTTGGTTTTGTTGATTCACTGTACTTTTTAAATTGTTTCATTTATTTCTGTTTTAATCTTTATTTCTTTTCTTTTGATAACTTTGGGCTTAGTTTACTCTTCTTTTACTGGCTCGTCAGGGTATAAAATAAAGTTACTGATTTGAAAGTTTCAGTTAAATGTTCATAGCTATAGATTTGTCGTTTAAATTCTGCTTTTGCTGCAGCACGTAAGTTTTGCTGTGGTTTGGTACTTTCATTTTCATTCATCTCTTGAGTTTTTAATCTTATTTTTGAGTTATGATTTTGTTCATTGATATCTAATAGTATAATACTTAATTCCCACATACTTGTGTAATTTCCAGTTTCACTTGTATTAATGTCTTGTTTCATTTTATTGTGGTTGGATAATACACTTTGTATTAATTTCAGTCTTTAAAAATTTGTTGAGACTTATTTTGTGATTTATTGAAGAAAACTATTTTGAGAGTACAAAAATAGGTATATGCAGTGGTTTAATCTTTAGAAAATGAAAATGCTGGCAAGCTAGAACTGGCAGGCACTTAATTGAAATAACTTAAGGGAGAAGTGTGCAATGTAATCATAGATGTTTGTGAAATTGTAGGCTTTGATAATTTCTATTAATGTTTAATGTTGTTGTTAAGTGCTGTCGAGTCGATTCCGACCCCTAGTGACCCTGTATAGGGTTTCCGATGCAGAGCTGGTGAGCTTTAACCGTCGACCTTGCAGTTCAAACAGCTTTGCAGTCTGGCGAATTAACCCACAGTGCCACTTAGTGTTAATCTGAAATCTTCAAATTATATCATAAAATAGTTATCATTTTGAAGCTCTTCTCTCATTAATATATATTTCTAGTTTTTAAATTTTAACCTGGAATCCTGGTGTGGTGCTATGGGATAAAGCACTGGACTGAAAGATTGGTTTGAACCGCAAGGTTGGCAGTTCAAACTCACCAACTGCTCCTCGGAAACCCTATACAGGGTCACTATGAGTTGGAACCGACTTGAAGGCACTTAACAACAACAATCGTACTCTAAGAAGTAGTTATATGGAATGATTGGCATTCTAGTTACATTGCATTTCCTTAACTGACCTTTGTTTTGAGCAGAAAGTACTAACCAGTAGTAAGAAGGAAAGAAAAAATGTTTTTTATAATCCACAGAGCTGTTATCCCATACAACAGAAGGTTGTTGTTGTTAGTGCATCGAATTGATTCTGACTCATAGCAACCTTGTATAGGGTTCCTGAGGAGCAGCTGGTGAGTTTGAACCACCAACCTTGCAGTTCAGATTGACCTGTGGTCTAGTGCTTATTGTATAGTGTGACACCAGAACTCCAGTAATAGTTCAGTTGTATTAAAATCAAATCTTATTTCAGTAATATTTTAATTAATGAATTTCTTGGAAGTGATAAAATAAGTAATGGATTTTTATTGGTGGTGTTAATTTGATTTATTTACTTAAGAATCAGTGTAAACAGGACTATAAGAAAGTCACATTAAGCAAAATTGTGAAGTTTATAACTTTTTTTTTAAAATTTTCTTCCTCTAACATTTAGGAAACCCATCTTGTATTTCTAATTCCCAGGGCAATATTTTTATCAAATACTCAAATCTGTGATTTAAAAAAAAAAGACTTTATATATTATATTTAGAGGTTAAAGTAGCAGATTAAGGTGACTCAGAGTATTGGACATTCCTTTGTCTTTCATATGTGTATGTGTGCATTCATAGTAGGAAAGGAGCAGTAGAAAATATGGCTGAAAGGATGATGTAATCTTTATGGAGTCATTAGGAAAAATGTGTACATTAAAATGTTCTGTGTTTGCACCCTGTTTTCTCTCTAGGCAAGAATTTGCTAATCTAGGTGACATATCAACAAAAACAACAGATGTGGAAACATTTTTGCATTTTTGTTTAGAAAAATCTCATCTGTATGCATAGACTATCTTTAGCAATTGCTTCAGTAAATGTGAGACAGATGGTTTAAACCAGAATGACTAAGAGAATTTTATCTCAATAATTTTGAAACCTGGTATTGCTGTGCTGAAGATGAGATTTTTGGAACATCATGATTGTAGCTTGGTATACATTAAAGACTTGTAGGAGTAAACTTAAAAGTCAGAGCAATTAGCGTTGCAGAGCCTACTAAAGATACTTGACTTCTCCACACCCTGTCTATTTAACCTGTGATTGAATGCTACTAATTTGTCTGTTGTCTCATCTTCATGTTTGTTGTTGAGTTGGATCCAACAAAGTCTGCCTGTCCTCTCTTCTAAGGAGCTTTCTAGCTGTACTTCTTGCTCTTTAAGCTTTGACAAAGCAGCCCTGTCTATGTACAACAGAATGGAAACACTGCCTGGTCCGGTACCATCCTCACAGTCTTTGCTATTTGAGTTCATTTTTGCAGCACGGTGCCAGTTCATCTGATGAGGGTCTTCCTCTGTGTCACTGACTCTCTACCAACCATGATTTCCTTCTCTAGGAAATCCTGATAACATGTCCAAAGTATGTGAGATGAAGTTTCACCACCCTCACTTCTAATGAGCATTCTGGCTGTACTTCAAGATAAATTTGCTCATTCTTCTCACAGTCCATGGTTTATTCAATTTTCTTTATCAGCACCATAATTCTTATGCATCAGTTCCTCGCTGGTCTTTCATTTTCATTGTCCTGCTTTCACATGAATATGAAGTGATTGAAAATACATGGCTTAGGTCAGAAACACCTGAAGTTTGCAAAGTGACATCTTTGCTCTTATGCTTTAAAGAAGTCATTTGCAGCAAGTTTGCCTAATTCAATACATTGTTGGATTTCTTGACTGCTGTTTCCATAAGTGTTGATTTTGGATACAAGTAAAATGAAATCCTTGACAACTTTAATATTTTTTCTGTTGCCTATTAGTCCAGTTGGGATTATTTTTTGTAAATAAAAAAAAGTGTCTTTATGCTTGTGCAATTTATCCTGGAGACTGTAGCCCTTCAGTAGTAAGTGCTTCAAGTTCTCTTGACTTTCAGCAAGCAAGGTTGTATCATCTTCATATCACAGATAGTTAGTGAGTCTTCCCCTAGTCCTGATGTTAGGTTTACAACAGATGGTGAAGTGACAGGAAGGCGGGTGAAAGGAACTAAATACTGTTGAGCATTTTCAATGTGTCAAACAGTAAAATAGGTACTTTTTTTTGCATTTTCATGCTACAGACTAGGACAATTTTCCTTCTACTTGAAAAACTCTGATTTACTTTTTCTTTTAATGTTGGCTTGTTTAAACAAATTCTCATTTTATTTGTGAACTAAGCCAGTTTTTTTTTTCCCCCCCCATGAGACACCAGTTTTACTTGAAATAATAATACATAGGTTATTCATGTTAGGGCAATTGTTAGACATTTTTTTTAAAAAGGAACAAAGTAAGTTCTTCATTTTAAGCGAAAGAGTTGATTTTTTGTTGGTGGAGAGGATGAGATTCAAACTTTCAAGTGAAAATTGTTA